GGTAAGATTTCCATTTATTCATCAAAAGAGGCGTCCCATTTGAAACCAGAATGGATTTTCCTTGATACCTAACATAATGTATGAAAGGATCTTTGAACAACCATAGACTGGCTTGAAAATCCTTAGCAAAGACTTCTACAAGACGTTCTTTTTTTTCATAGAAATATATCCGTTCAAGAAAGACTCCAAAAGATGTTGATCGCAAATGAGAAGATTGCTTACGGAGAAAGAAGAAAATGGATTCGTATTCACATACATGAGAATTATATAACAAGAAGAATAATTTTTGATTTCTTTTTGGTGAAAAATCAAAACTGGGTTTCTTTCTATCAATAAGAGTATTCCAATTCCAATATTCGTGGAAAAAGAATCGTAATAAATGCAAGGAGGAGGCGTCTTTTACCCAATAACGAAGGTTTTGAACCAAGATTTCCAGATGTACGGGATGGGGTATTAGTATATCTAACACAGAATTTAAATGTGAAAAATTGTTCTCTAAGAAAGGAAATGGTGAATGAATTGATCGTAAATTACGAAATTTTAATATCCCTTTCCCCCCTTGAGAAGATATTAATCGTATATAAAATGGAATTTCCACAATAAATGCAAGTCCTTCTGATATTGTTTGAGAATATAAATTCTTGTTGTGACCAAAAAATAGATTTTGATTAGAATTATTAGCAAAAATAATAAAATGATTTTGTTGATAAATTCGAGTAATTAAACGTTTCACAATTAGGAAACTGGATTTATTATCATAAACTGGATTTTCTAACAAAATCGATCGGTTTAAACTATGATCATGAGCAAGTGCATAAATATACTCCTGAAAGATAAGTGGATATAGAAAGCCGTGTTGTTGAGATCTATCAAGCTGTAAATATCCTTGAATTTCCTCCATTTGATTTTAATTTGAACCAAAGGTAGAAGATTTGGGGGTTATCAAATGATACATAGTGCGATACAGTCAAAACAAAGTATTTTAGTAATAAAAGATACCTCGGGGCGAGTATAAACTTATAAACAGATTCTCTATCCTCTCTTTTTTACATTTTTAGTCATTTTTAGTCTATGTTATAGTATAACAAGATGGTTAGAAATCTTTTATTTTTTCAACCCAATCGCTCTTTTGATTTCGGAAAAATTTTCTTTATCAATATACTGTTTCTTCTACACACACATCTCCGTTTCATAATGGAGAGTTAGAATAGTTAGGATTCGTTGAAAAATTGAGAATTCACTCATGGGAGTGAAAGCTTTCCTGCACCGGGCACTAATATATTTTTAACGTCTAATTAGATCAGGAAATTATTCCAAATTCAGAGCAGAAGCTCGTTTCTTTATCTTTCCCTATAATTAATTGAAGCCGCGAGGCCCTATCCATTTATTCATTCAACCCAACTTTATTTTCTTCCATTCCAAGAATTCGAACCGGGTTTTTCTTTTCTACTGATCCGGTAAAAATGAAACATTCTCAGAACTCTCCCTCAATCCGACATGCTGTTTTTTCCATTCATTCCCTTTCAGGATCAGTCGTGGTCTTTCAAACTTTACCGATGGTATAGATGAATCCCCTGCTTCATCTAAATGTGTAAAAGATGCTAGCCGCACTTAAAAGCCGAGTACTCTACCGTTGAGTTAGCAACCCGAAGAATAAATTAAAATAAAAAATAAATAAAAAAGAAATTAAAAAAATCTATAAAATATAATATATAATATATTAAGTGTATAGATACAATCAGAATGAAAACAAATTCAACAAAGACATTAGACAAGGCAATCAAAGTGTTGAGCTAACAAATAAAAAAAGATTTTCTAATGCATTCAAAACAAAAACATAAAAATGAAATGAATAGAGGCAGATGAAAATACAAGAAATTCTCAGAAAAAATTCGATAAAAATAAAAAAATAGATAAATATCAAAATTTATAGACCGACCCCCCTTAATTTACTTTTTCATTTACTTTTTCAATCAATCAAAAAACCTTGCATATAATAGAACCCACGGTTTGAAAGTAAAAAAAACAAACCTAGGGCACGAAACTAAATAGATCCACTTGACTTATCACAATGAATTATATTTGTTCGATACACTGTTGTCAATAGAAATGTTGCGAAAAGAATATATGGAAAAAAATACAATAAATTCAATTGACAGTTAAAATACAAACTGATCAAATCGTTGGATTGACACTGCATATCTAAATAATTCTATTCTACACGTGTAGATGAGAAAATAAATAAGGACGTGGTGAAAAAGTCCCTGATTTATTTAATCCACACCAATCAAAAATGTATTCAATAAAAAATAAAATAAGTAGAATAAGCAAACTTACCTCGATTCCCTCTTTCTTTTTTATAAGACTTTGTCGCATAGAATATGAGAAAACAATGAAAAATAGATACTAATAGGGCGGGAAGGGGGGGTGTAGTGACTTTTCTATAATTTTATAGAATCTTTCTCTATTCTTTTTTATATACCCCCCTTTTTGCATTTCTTTCCTTAATTGAACTTCATTTGATTAGGGCGAAGTTCCTTAAAAACCCCCGCCTTTTTAAAAATATCTTGAACAGTTCCTGTAGGTTGAGCACCCTGTTCAAGGAAATATAGAATAGCAGTAACGTTTAAATAAGTTTGATTCTTTATCGGATCATAAAAACCCACTTTCTGCAGATCTTTTCCTTCTCTTCGGGATCGAACATCAATTGCAACGATTCGAAAGACAGCTCATTGAGATAGATGTAAATGAACAATACCCCTCCTAGAAACGTATAGGAAGTTTTCTCTTCGTACGGCTCGAGAAAAAAATAATTTGATTCGAAGTTTTATCTATGTATTGAATTCTAGTAAATCATAAAAGGTGCATAAAATCATCAAATCAATTAGACTGCGGTTTAAGTCTTTTTTTTCTTTTTCATTCCTGAAAAAAAAAAAAGAAATCATTCGTACTCATAACTCAAGTTAGATAACTTTTAAATAGCTCAAAAGAAAATTGTTAGGCAATTTCATTTATTGAGTGGTCTTTACCCCCTTATTTGTCTCCTTTAAAATTTTTATTTCTTATCTTAAGATACTAAGTCGGGCTCATTTATTGAGACAATTTAAATGGTGTTTCCTTGTTCTGAGATCCTTTATCAATCATTGGGTTTAGACATTCCTTCGGTCCTTCTTAATCCTTTCAAAATGGCAGCAACATACCCTTTTTGGAATTTCCTTCTATCAAAGAATCTTGTGGACATTTGATTCCCGCGTGATACACTTTGGGTCGAAAAAGTTTGATTAATCCCAACAAATTTTCCTTTTGAATGGGAAACTTCCTCGAATAGGATCCTTTCGATTTTTATATCGAAGTTATATTCTCACGAAGTTGTTCCAATTTATTGATTTGCATTAACCCTAGATTTTTGCTCCGAGAAATCAATTAATACTTTCTACTCGAGCTCTATCCTGGACTATTTACATTACCAAATGATGTCGAGCCAAGAGCACTTTCATTCCTATAGAAATGGAAAATGGTGGATATAATAAAGAATCCACAAAAGGTCGTCTCCTTCAAGTCGCACGTTGCTTTCTACCACATCGTTTCAAACGAAGTTTTAGCATAACATTCCTCTAATTTGGAACCGGTATGGAATTGATTCAATTATGGAATCATGAATAGTCATTGGTTCAATTAGTGCATAGACGTCGTACTCTATACTCTTTTTATAGATAGATATAGATCAATAAAGATTTTTCTAAAGAAGTTTTAGTAAGACCTCTATCAAAGAGTCCATTTAACTTCTAAGGAATCATTAAAAATATTCATAATTTTAAAAAACATTCATAATTAAAAAAAGCTCGTATCATTATTTGAATAAAATTGACAATAAGGACCCTATTTGATCATCGTAGAAAAGATAAGTCCTTCTTAATTGAATTAAATTAATAAACTAGAGCAAACAAAAAAATAAATAGGTAAGGGAGGGGTTTTCGTATCTATCAAATCAACTGAACAACTGCCCTGTCACCATTCTAATCTAAATAGTCTATATTACAAATTTCAATTTGTAATTTTCGTATCACAAAACTTTTTCACACAAAAATCGAAAGACTTTTATTAGTGAAATAGAACAATAAAAACATATACGATAAACTTTTCCTCATTTTATATGTATTTTTTTAAGTAACATTATTATCTTACTAGAAATAGAAAGTGAATAAAAAACAATAAAAGATATAAAGCACCACCATCTCATGTGTTACATAGATTTACAATTTTTCATTAGGACCCAACACGAAATACCCAAACTGAGATTCAAAGAAAATATATCGGTTGTTAAATATATAATTACATAATATAGCATTGGAGTTTTGTTAAATTTTTGATAATGTAGTTCGGACAGACGCAAATATTTTAATATCTCCCATTAATGATTAATTCTTATCTGCTCACCCATTCTATGGGAATAATGGGACATAACAGAAATGAAAAAGGGGATTCTGATCGCAGATACAAACTACCTAGACACAAAACTAAAGAAGTCCAGATTAAGCTGTTCCTTTTTTTATTTCAACCTAACCTATATTAACATTAAGAGACTTAATTCTATTGAGTTTGAGTCAACTTTATTAGTACCAAATATAGTTAGAATTCAGAAATCCATAGAAAAATTAATAAATAATTAGACTACCCCATTTACGAGATAAAGAATAATAGATAGAATCGTTGAAAATTTCAATTTTGATAAAATAGAAAATAGATATGGGACAGAGGGTTTTTCTAAATAACTAACTTCTCTAAATTAGGAAGATTTTGAACATATAATGAAAAGATCACTCGCCCTTTTTGAATTTGAATTCAAACGTGTGGAATTCATGTTCCCATCTTACCCGGATCCTAAATAGATTAATTTATACCTGCGTGTTATTTGAACTCGATTGAGTTAAGTTTGTGAAAAAAGTATGATTCATAAAAGATAAAAATCAGAAATCAGAAACACATTTCACCTAAAATTA